ATTTGGGTGTCCATTTTGCCATGCTTTTGGCTCAGTTACAGAACTCGTCATATCTATGTAGAATGTGTTATATATTGTCTCACTGGCCAGGAATACAGCTCTGTGTGCTCAGTTCTGCTGCAAACTGCAACAAAAAAAAATTCTAGATTGGTCTCCAACTAGCAAGAACATTTTCTGAGATTGTGTCTGTGAAACATGGCTCGAGTGGTGACTTTTGCATTTGTAGAGGAGATCTGAGGCACGAAGTTAGAATTCAGTTCTCTTGCATGTGCTCAAGACCATTTTTTCCTCCTGCAGTCTTTTGCCTTATTCACTAAGCATCTAAAATGTTGTTTGCAATAAATTATACAGCTTTCTTTATTAATCAACCTTGATTTATCTCTGCAATTGCTCTGTCACATGCATTAAATGAGTCTGGTCTCCCAGGAAATGGTATAGTTAAGTGAAGATTATAACACACAGGAAAGCAATTTAAAACTGGATACGTGGTGTTCTAATTTTTGTGCTGTTCAAGCTTTAGAGATGCCAAAGCTCTAAAAGTAAGGATGAAGGACTTTCCTAAGGCCTCAAAAATTGAGTTTCACATTTCTTGATTTTCCATGTTTCCTTGTATGATTTTCGCTCATTCCACCGCTCCATGCAGTCAGCTGAAGTACTGGCTTCAGTGAGCAGTGAGCAAGGACATGGATGCTGGAACTCACTCATGTTGGGGCTGGGCAGGCAGGTGTGAGTCAGCAGCAGGTAGTTCTGCATCATCTAAGTGAGGCCTGAAAGTTCAAGGCTCAGAAATGTCACAGAGGTTCTGGAACAATCTGTCCAGACACTTGTGGATGCCTGCTGTTCAAGGTCAGGTTGGATGGGGGCCTGGGCAGCATTGTGTGGTGGAAGGTGTCCCTGCCCATGCAGGAAGGTTGGAACTGGATGATCTTTAATGTCTCTTCCAGTGTTCTGTAATCTTATGATTCTATGGCTATCTCTGGACACAGATGTGCCTTGTACTGGTTTTAAATATGAAAGAATAATTGACAGTACAGATAACTGCTCGTTTAGCAAATCCTAGCAAATACACTATCTCAGATCTTCAGGAAGTTTGAGTCAAGAAGACCAATCTGAGTGTATTTTTCTCTACACAGCAGATATGTATCATGTACTGTGGATATATCACTGTTGCTCATTCTCAGAAGGTGCAGAGTATGACCAGCTGCCCAGGTAGATCCCAAGAGGGCAGGCATGGACTGCCCCTAGTTGTAATAGAGTATAGGCTAGTCCAGTGTGGTGGCTAATGAAGCTAAGTGTTCCAAAATGTTCCGTTTTCTAACACCATGGGCATTACAAACAAAAGGAATGATCATATTTTTAAACACTAAAATATATATATAACCAGGCAGGTTACATATTTAAAGATTAATTAACTTATGCACATGGCATATTGAGGCCACATTGTGTTTACATTTCACCTTCTGTGTCTCTAAAGCAGTCATTTCTTTTCTTAGTCGTTTGTCAGTCAGAGATTTGCATCCATCTGAATGCCTGGTTTGGACAGTTATAAAATAGCTACTGCAAGTTTTTAAATATTTTTTTTACTTCACATTTCCTGTCAGGCAGGTCACTCAAGTAGGAATTCCCATCATTTTCCAGAAGCGGAAAAGAAGACACTTCTTGTGCTTAATAAGTAAAAAGTAATAAGTAATTTTTAAGCCTTATGATGAATCATATTTGAAGGACTAAGATTATGTATTTTGGACTTTGAATTTGGTCTTGACAGGTTTGCATTATCATAATACAGCCCTTTGCTTTCCAAGTTACTCTTCTAACACCAGGCTCGGAGTGAAATATTATTGAGCAAACCAGATTTTGTTCATTATAGATATTGTGTGCAAGACAGTCACTAATGTGCAAAGAGCAAAACTAGACAAAGACCTCAGAGGTAAATTATGCTTAGGAGTCTTGCTCTTACATGTTTCACTATCCATCGATCTATCCAGCTATCAACTTAAAGTTAGCTACCTTAGCTGTGTCACCTATAACAAATATATAATTATATTGGCTTGTTCTATGTTGAGAGATCAGAGAGACTATGAAGGAAAATATAGAGCAAATTTTTGTATCTTCAGATTTTCATTACAAAATGCTCTAGCAGTATGTATCTAATTATGTGAATACAATTTTCCCCCTCAAGCTCAACTTTTACACGATACATTTAAGCTGTGTAATTAGTGGTTTTGATAATAAATTGTTTTTCAATTAATATGTTTTGCTTGTTATCACTAACAAAATTATTGTTGTGTTGATTTTGGCAACCATAGGAACTCTGTTGTTTTACCTTGTGTTTTTAAAGCTATTTCCCATTTGTGTTACATACCAAATGTCTCACTAATTGTTTTCTACATACAGGAATGCCCACTCTGCTCTAACTGTAAAGCTTTTATAAAAGCATTATTCATTAAACAATGCAAACTGCTATTGTACTCCAGTATATTATTGCTTTTTTTTTACCCTCTTCTTGTCTTAGGGACTCTGTGTATGATCATGAAACTGAAAACTATGAAATCTGCAGAATTAATCAGATCCAAGGATCATTTGTTCCTACTTTCTGAAGTTCATTGTAATTCTCTTTACTATTTGTATGCAACTTATTCACTTTCATTTCTGTTATCTTGAAATTCTTTTTCAGTCTGGACAAATATATATATATATTCTCGTAAATCTTCAGAGTTACATCAGATCTTGTTTTAATAGTAAAAATAAGCAAAATTTGACCCAGACTTCTTACTTTGTGAATACTTTCAGCACATATAGTTTTCTACATGTATTTTCATGCCATTAAAAGCCCAACATTTTCCAACTTTCAACTTCTGTTAGCACTGGTAACTGATCATTTCTACCAGTAAGAGACCTTCTCGCTTTGGTTGTAGAAGAGGGAGAAAAATGAACCATGTTCGTTGGGAATATATGCCTGTTATTTCATAATTAGTTTTTTACATTAACTATGCATCTCTACTGATAATTTCTTTATTCCCTTATTTATTTATACTGTGGTACACTTTGGATAAAAGGCAAAATGAGAGGAAACAGGCCATGTGGAATGTTCTGGGGAATGCTATCTGAAATAAGGGTTTCTATTGAATATAGGACAGTAAAATACAGTAATTTGGCTTTAGCATTCTGTGAATGCATTTTCTCCTTTTCAGTTTCTTCTTAAATCAATACAGAGCAATTACAGCAATACATTTCATTACTTTGAAGAGCAATACATTTCAGTGCCATGACGCTGCATAAGCAAGATAAGTGTACTTAGAGAAAACGAAACTGATAATATTTGTAAAGGAACCTGATGTCTTATTGAAGCAAAATCCATATTCAGCTTGTTCAGAGAAGATTTAAGAAGCAAGATGGCTTGATAGGGAATTCCAGTGTAGGTGTTTTTAAGAAACTAGAATAATACATGGAATTCAGTGATAGCATAGCTTCTATCTATAGAAGATATTAGGAGATTTGAAACCAAAACCAATAACAATTAGCTGATTGCTCCCATACAGGCCAGTCACCAATCACCTGTTCTGTTACAGTACAATAACATGTATTTACAAAAAGAAGTATGATAAATGACTGATTGCCCATTACATTGCATCTTGCTATATTTTTAATTTAATTTATTTCTATATATATATAACAAGTAGTAATTTAAGGCAAGGTGACAAAGTACAGAATTTCAGAAACCAACAAAAAGCTGAACGTGGGATTTTCCTTTAGTGCAGGCAGCTGACTGGATTCAATTCAGAGATGAGAGGCTGAGGCAGGGTTCAACTCACCTACCCAGATGTCTGAGATCCAGCTATTCAGAGTAGTCATCAGAGTGCTTTCAATTCTATAGAGAAGCATGGCATCTTGCCATGTTAGGATGTGATGCCTTGCACTGCAGAGCTGGCTGGCAGCTCATAGGCAGCAAGAAGACCACTGGCTGAGCATAGATGACTTTAGTCCTAACCCTTGCACAGAACACAGCGGTTAGTGGATTAGTTACAAAAGTTCAACAAGCCAAGAACAGTGTGTGAGTAACAATGGGATTACACTCAATTTCTGATGCTGGCCCAGGAATTGCAGGGATCTCTTACAGAACCTCATCTTACTGCTCAGGCTAAACCTCTTACAGCCACGTCAGCCCAGAGTGCAAGGCACGGCACAAAGGTGCCAGCTATGTGTTTTTGTCCTTCAAGGGGAGGTTTTTCAAGGTGGCTGTGACGTGATTTCAGTTGTGTCAAAAGCGAAATGATATCACAGCAGAGCGTCTACAGGAACCTGCCGCCACAGGACTGGTGGATGCAGATGACTTAGATCTAACAACATAGTCTAAGCTGATGCTGACCTTTTCTTCCTTTATTCATTTTTCTTCTAACAGAGAGAGACACGTCATTTGTTATAATTATGTGAGGCCCTCAGAAGTGACTCATAATATTATGGGCACCAGCAAAATTAACTGTCATGAACAGTGGAAATTTTTAAACCCAAAATAGATTGTTTTATCTGAGTTACAAACCTTTGAAATAAAAATGTTGACTTAAAGACTTGAAGTCTTTAGCAGCACCAGTAGCTGCCTCTCCAACAAAAACCAAAGCTACAAGTAATCATATTTGTTATTTTAAGTAATGTCAAGCTTCTGTAGTACCAATCTGAAAAATGAGCAAGCAATTATTAGACATTGTCTCAAGGAAGAAATTATTGGATATTGCCTTAATAGTTTCTATATTGAAAATCTTTGCACTACAAGTGCAAAGATTCCTGATATGGAGAAAAAGTGGTGTTTAAAATTAAAACCAGATGTACAGTAACAGTATCTGAAAGAGTTTGAACGCCTATGTGTGTAGATATATACATTTATACGTCTATACTGTCTTTGTATAGATACTCACACGTGCAGAAGATACTGTAGTACTTCAGATTTCCTTCCTTTTTCATCTATAAAACTAATTGCAAATTATTTCTTCTTGTTCTTCTCACAGCTGAATTTTTGTTCCTCTTGTGGGGTGTTTATCTCTGCTATGCAGTGCGGACAGTCCCATCAGCATTTCATGAGCCGCGTTATATGGCTGTTGCAGTTCACAATGAGCTCATTATCTCTGCTATATTCCATACAATTAGGCAAGTGATATGTGGATCTAGTAATTAGCTATTTATCTTTCAGGTTTCATATGGTGCAACATAAAATGGGTAAATGGAGTAGGATGCATAAGGAAAAGTCTCATAAATATTTATTAATATATATTAATATATTAATTAATTACTAAACTTAAAACTGTTCCCATAGAATTCAAGAATGTATCTGATCAAGTTGTTAATAATATATTTAGGGGTGGTTTTTTTTTTCCATATTGCTAGCTAATGTGTCCTTTGAACAAAGTTCAGTACATGTGATAAACTAGAGGTACAAGAAATATTGTCAGTCTTGTATCACTTACACACCACTCACTGGTTTGTATCCCTAGAAAAGCAGCAGGTAAGAATGTTAGTTTATATGAATGTGTCCTGGTGTGTAACAGATTGGCAAAGTGCAGCTGTATGTTGAGGTAATTGCACTGGTTTGTGCATGAGGCATAGTGCTTTATATGCTGACTTAAAAATTGTTATGCTGTAACAGTAATGTAAGGCATGTATTTCTTTGAAAGCTTATAATGAGCTCAATGTTTCATATTTTAAATCTTTTCGTATTTTAAATCATATTTTAAATATTTTAAAACAAGCAAATAAGGGTCATTTCCAGAGTGTATGAAAATTATCTTATCTGCCTTTCCCTCAGAGCACCTCCTACTAAGGAATTTGGAATAGCAAGACAGCATGAATTTCAGCTCATGCACCAGGAGATTCTTATGACTTTCTTGTTACATTCTTGCACTTATCTTCGCCTCCTGACAGACCTTATCTACTCTGATTTATTTTTTTACACCACTCCACTGACAATCTTCAAATACACCTCTCACTTTCTAGGTCTGTATTGGAGCTCACATTTCTCTGTGCCTTCTTTATGTTTTCTTCTGTGTTGCAGCATTTTTCTCTGAGTAAAGACCAGCAAAAGAAAGAAAAGAAAATCTTTCATCTCTATTTCTGCTGGCTGCACTCTTTGCCCTGGTTGTAAAGTTCACTGCCCTTCTCAGGCTTGCAACTTTTTCTTTCCTTAATCTTCTCCTAACCCCATATCTTGCCATCCATGGACATTCAAAATCTCCTTGTTTACTCCCTAACACAAACATACGAAAAATTGTTTTAAAAATTTGTATTTGGTTGAAATGTTTTTCTTGTCATTCCTGATAGGGTAGGCGTAAAACTCAGTTACAGTACTTTTTAATTGCTTGCTACTAATATGGTACTTTTGAATCATCTACAGCTCGTATGGTGGCCTTTCAGTCAAAATTTTCCCCCAGTAATTAATGTTCTTAAACCATACTTTGATTCATGGTAGAAGATACAGCTCAGTGCATTAGGAGAAGTATTTTGTGGGGTGCAAGTTTCTTTTAACAGTAGGATGGAAGTAATCATCCAACCCTGAGGATTTTTCTTGGAAAGCGCTAGGAATATGAGAAAAAGGAGAGACTCCTCTCTCTTACATAGGTCTGGTCTTGCTGACATTTCTAATCAGGGCAGTGGTTTGCTTGTTTTCAGTAGCAGATTTACAAACTTTTTTCATTGTTTTGAAATGTTCCTACACTGCCTGATCTTAACGAAGCAAAGAATTCTGAAGAGATTTCTTCTGTCTTGCCTTCTTTTAGAAACGTAATGCTGTTAAGCGAAGAAGGCACTGAATGACTTGATCTTCCCCATTATCTGTTCCTTTGCCCTAGGGTCTGCTGATTTTGTTCTTCCTTCTTTTTTTAAAAAAAATGTACATTCAGTATTGCTTTCCTTTCTGCCACATGCTGATTTGCTGAAGAAACACCATGCATTTTTTGTAGATAGGAACGAACAAAATGCACTGAAAATAGAGTCCCTCCTGAGATGATGTACATATCCATACGCACGAGTCTTAACCCGGTCTCAAGTTCACTTTTCTTTACATGCACTTTTTCTTGCTTCTGTTTTCTCTGCCAAGTTCTACATGTAACTGAAGGAGCTGCAGTGTAAGATGTTTTTATATTTGATGAAATCATCATATGATTTATATGGTATATCTGAATTGTCATGAAGTCGATAGCGCTGGATTCTTGAAGTACACCTACTATTATGTTGCAGCCATCCAGCCTGAAAATTCCTGAAGCTCACAGAAGATTAACGTGAGCACCAAATACGACCTTGAATTGTTCATGGTTGTTCTTTAAAAGTGTGATTCCCATTCCAGAAACAGAGGGTTCTTGATTACCTTCTGATCAGCATAGTATTACTTTTCTGCACTTTCTCTTGTATTATTGAGAAAAATTTTGATGGAAAAATTTCATTTAAATAGAAACTCTGTCTCTGCAATGATCAGGTACAGAGCTCTGTTAGTAACAACTTGCTTACATGCCGCTAGCACATCTTACTGCCTCTTCTTTCTGATTTTCTGTGATAGTTCTTAACCCATCTGCCTTAGCCCTTTTCTGTCCTTGTCTTCTCCCTCATAAATAACCCACTCTTTTGTTACTTTCTCACTACTGTTGGTCCCAATTTTGCTACATTTGTATTCAAATCTGGTATTTCTGATATAACCAAGGTAAGCAAAGCTTTATAGACTGTTGACAATACAGTTACATCAGGACTGTTGGCCTTGCAAGTTCTGCTCTCTCAAGGGCCTACAGCACTCCCTTAATTACCTGTGAAGTTTGACTGTCTTTCAGATGATGCCCTGCATCCATCATGGCACTATCTGTAGCTTTTTGCTATAGCCTATGTTTCATGCCAGACTGTTTCTGTTAACAAAAGCTTCTGCAAAATGTGCATCTGTGATCTTGGGTAAGCTGCAAATCTCATTTTGATGTGAATGATTTATACAAACTTGCAGATTACAAGCCAGTGATAGATCCATTCATCCATTGCACTGCTTACCTTTTATATCTTTGGGAGTCACTAAAGCAGAAAAGCCAAGCTGCTCTAACTGCAGTGCTTGCTCTACTCTTTTAGAAAGCTCAGCAGGAACTGCTTCGTTTGTAAAGTTCAGCCAGCCATTTCCTAGTGTTTGCAGGGCTCTTGGACCATAAGCGGTCCTGAAATCAACACCATTTCTTTGTTCCCCACTGAAATGCAGGTCAGTGCTGTTCTCTCTTTGTTGGCTTATCAGCCGCACCCTGCAGCTGCAATCTCTGGACATCCTCTATTTACAAAGTGCACTGCAAAGTATCACAGTACGTGTTCTTACTTAACCTAAAATCAGCAGTTCACATCCTTTATGCAAACTGCCATAACTCAGTTCATGCCAAAGACTATTTACACTATCTGAAAAAAACTCCAGTTATGTAGAGTGAGAACACTGGAATAAGCAATGTCCTTTAAGACCTGTTGTTACTTTTATACTTTGTTTTGGCTTGCGTTGTTGTTTTTGTGTATTTTTTTCCTGAATTGTTTTGAATCTGTGGTACATAGGTAAAGCATGTGAATAGAATAGTCTGTGAATAGCATGTGAATAGTTTAGTCTGTATGAAATCACTGAAAAACAAAACCAGTTGTGCTTGGTCTTTCAGTGAAAAGAAACCTAAGGAACATTCAAAATGTTTAATAGAATGCACTGGAGAAAAGACAGTGAATTGCAATGCAATTCTTTTTTCAGATTCATTCTTGCTTCAAGACTTCAGTCTGACTGGATGCTGATGCTGTTCTTTGCACACACGCACTTGACTGTGACAGTCACTGTTGGGCTACTACTGATCCCTAAGGTATTGTGTTCTTTTTATTTTTGTCAAGACCAGGAAGATAAGTTTGTCATGCAGAAGCAATTCTGTATAAAATTAGCAAGCAACTGGTAGAAAAGGAAGATGTAAAATTTGTCTAATGCCTAGAAGTGTATCTGATTTTTTTCTTTTATAAACTCTTACACATTTTGAAAGATTCTTTCTTCCGATTTTTAAAATTCCACAGATTCAAAGGACTTTTATTTTCAGTTTAAACAAAACACATAAATGGATTTGATTCATGCAGGAAGGAAAAGATCTTGCCTAGTGATCCCTACTTCAAGTATTTGCTCGACTGGGCCACTGGCAGTGTTACCTGAGTTTGTGTGAGGACCTAGAAAGACTAGCATGGACCGTTAAATAAAAGTGGGATGATGATGTTAAACAGGCTATGAGATGGAGTGACTGAGACCTAAACCCAGCAATTGTCACTGTGTGATTATTTCACCCTAATGGGCAGATGAGCTCCATCACACAGCTCTGTCACTTCCCCTCCTCAAAGGAAAAAGGGGAGAAAATAGGATGATAAAGTGCTCAAGGCTTGAGGACAGGGAAATCATTCACAAATTGTCATCATGGGTAAAACAGACTTAGCAAAGAAAGATTAACTTATTTCTAGTGCAGAGCAATGAGAAACTGAAAGTAAACTAAATACATCTTCCCTCCATCCATCCTCTGTTTCTTCCCCAGGAGCAGCACAGAGGATCAGGGAAAGGGGGCTGTAATTAGTCTATAACACTTGGTCTTGCCACTCCTCCATGGTCACTCTGCCCCTGCCCCACATGGGGTCCCTCCCACAGGATGCCATCCTTCCTGAACTGGTCCCACATGGGCTCCCCACTGGCTTCAGCTCTCCAGGCACTGCTCCAACACAGCTCTGTACCATGGAGCCACCCTTCAGGCACTGCTCCACACGGGTCCCCACAGGCAGCAGCTCCCCCAGCCCTCCTGCCCCACTGCAGGCTCCTTCCCATGGCTGCAGCATGGGGACATACCAGTCCTGCACACCATGAAGAAACTGTCCATGCTACAGTGCCAGCAGCAGGGTGAGAAGATGAATGTGTGCAGGACACAAGAAGATGCAGATGACAGGATGCAAGGAAGAGAACAGAATGAGCTTTGGGCACCACTGCACAGCTTTCAGAATGGAATGATTAAATGCCAGTCAGCTCCACCTGCCTCTTGCACCAGTCTGTAGGATTTGAATGTAGCTTTCTTCTTGTACAGTACTCCAGCAAAACAAGTGGCTTTATAATGGCTCTTGAAATGGCTTGTAACATTAATCAGAAAGTCAAGAATCAAAGGTAACGGTGAAGGTGAAAGTTGCAGAAAAGGAATAATGCTAGAAAGTTCAAGTTAATGTTTCTGTCCTTTCCTGATTTGCTGACAAACTCTCAAAAATAGATATATTAAACATGCATAACCAGAGGATGCACTGATCTGGCTTAACACTGCACAGCCCTATTTTTTTAATGACTCTACTGGTCTTTAGTAATAGTTTTATTTTCTATTTTTTATCCATTTTATCCATCATTACATGTGTTCAGAGATGCCTTTCCAGACTAGCCTAGAAAATTTGTTAACTTTTCTGAAACTGACTCATAACTAAGTTTCCATTTTTAGTTCATTATCTGTGTAACACTGTACAGACTTTCCTTCCAGTACCCCAAAGAATTCAGGGAATGAAGAGAAGATTCACAAGGTTATGTTCAATTCATAAAGTCCTGAGGCCAGATAACTACATGGGCAATAGAATCACAGATGAATGAATCCATATGAATAAAAAAATAGCTCACACAACCTCTCTTTCCAGTTCTTAATAACATTTTTTTTTGCCACTCTGTCTATTCATGTTCAGGATCAGGATCTGAAATGGGAGAATTACTTTCTGCAGGATTATCTGACTGCATGGAATATGGAATGTAGCTGTATGGTTTTAGCAGCCTAGTTGGAAATACTGACAGTGTATTCCCATAAATTTGTCATATAAGCTTAAAGTGAATGCAGTGTAAAAAGGCACAAATAAGTGGCAGAATAAGTATAAAGGATTTTTCTAATGCAGATTTCAGAACCCTTAGTGGTTAATCCACCATTAATATGAGTTCTTCCATACAGTACTGATTTTCTCCAGGACAGTAGTTACACCAGTGATGCCTATAGGTACTGAGTTTAGAAAATCGTACTAAATCCATTGTGATCAACTGTATAATGAAAACTATTGTAAACTTCTGTTGTGCACTAATGGCAACATCTTTGTTCTGAATGCTTACTGCAGTTTTCACATTCAAGCAATAACCCAAGAGATGATATAGCTACAGAAGCATATGAAGATGAACTTGATATGGGCCGATCTGGATCCTATCTGAACAGCAGTATCAATTCAGCATGGAGCGAGCATAGTTTGGATCCTGAAGATATTCGGGTAACTAAATACCATTTATTTTGGACTAGATGATCTTGTATGTCCTTTCCAACCTTGTGATTCTATGATTCTATGATTCTATTTTCAAAAGCATTTTTTTCACATTGGTAAATTCTGAATCAGTTTGATTTTTTTTTTTGCAGATACCAAATGAAACAAGTCAGTTAAGTCTCTCAATGACTGTGGATTCTGGTCATGTGAAATATCTTGGAAAGAATTGACCAGCGTAAAGAAAAAATAGTTGTAGTAAAAGTCATACTGGAGGCTGAGGAGGAAGAAACTTCCACAGCAAAAGCCATTAATCGGTTTACGTAGTTTCTTTGAAGCACAAGCAGCATTTGGTGTCACTGTGATTAGTTGTTTGTACATAGATATATAATATATCATTTTGATAAACATGAGAAATAGAAAGCTGTGCTATTGCCTTCTTATGTGATAAAAGGACATTTCTGCCTGGAACTTGTCTGACTTACAGTTCCAGAACACAGAATAGCAGCAAGAGTCAATAGGAAAACTAACACCACAGTATTGTATGAATGTGTATTGGTTGTGCATGGTCTCTGATGTGCAGCCATGCAGGGTAACTGGTTTGTGCACTAGGGCTGAACTTAGTCTTAAGGTGGAAAAAAACTGGAGAAATGGCATATTCAAGAATTAGTAAGGAAAGTGGGATAAGATTAATGTCATTTTTAGGGGTGGTTGTTTGGCTTTGTTCTGTTCATACTATTTTTGCTATTTACTTTGCTTTACAGGATGAGTTGAAGAAACTGTATGCCCAGCTTGAAATCTATAAAAGGAAAAAGATGATTGCTAATAACCCGCATCTCCAGAAAAAAAGGTGCTCTAAAAAGGGCTTGGGGCGCTCGATAATGAGGCGTATTACAGAAATCCCAGAGACAGTCACTAGGCAGTGCTCCAGGGACGAGAAGGACCTGATGGAGCACAATGCTGTGAAAAGCACGGCTACGCTGAAAAAACCCCCACAAGATTCCACAAGTTCTGCAAAGCCAAAAGAAGAGACCTTGAAAAACAGAGTCTTCTCATTAAAGAAGTCCCACAGCACTTACGATCACGTCAGGGATCAAACAGGAGAGTCTAATAGCGTAACTGCAGAAAGCACAGAAGTTACAGCTGCTGAGAATTCAATTCTGGATTCCTTCACTGGTAACAGTTTAACCAAAAAAGCTGAAAAAGGTGAAGCTGTGTCCACTGAATCGGTCCCTTTGGTGTGCAAATCACTAAGTGCGCATAACTTAAGTGCAGATAAGAAGCCTCTGCATCCAAGAACATCTGTGTTACAGAAATCCCTCAGTGTTATTGCTAGTGCCAAGGAAAAGACTCTGGGACTTACGGGTAAAACACAAAGTCTAGAAGAAAGCGCTAAATCTCAGAAATCTCAGCAGAAAGGGAAGGAAGGCAGCAAAAAGCATTCGGCCACCGATAAAGGGGAGCACAAGGATTCTCACCGGAAGAACTCTACTCAGTCTGAGGAGACAAAGAAAACCCATAAGTCTGGCATTATGAAGCAGCAAAGGGTTAGTCAAACACCTGCAAATCCAGACACAGGCCCAGGTAAGACTCTGCACAAGGACACTTTCGATATAGGAGAAATTTGTCCTTGGGAGATATATGACCAAACTCCTGGTCCTGTGCCTTCTGACTCTAAGATTCAAAAACATGTGTCAATTGCTTCCTCAGAAGCAGAGAAAAATCACCCTTCCCAGCCAAAGGGGAAATCTCATCATAAGCAGAAGATGCCTGAGGGCTCTCAACAGTCGAATCAGCAGAGCCCACAGAAGTTGGAGGCGGGCACTCGGGAGGTGCAAGAGCAGCACGTTTTTGAAAGTGATAAAAAACAGTTGAGTTCCAAATCTCAGGGCTCCCCTGGGCTGAATCGCGAGAACGTTAACAGATATGCACCAAATGTTTGTGGGGGGGAGCACGAGGAGCTGCCCCAGAAAGCAGCAGAAAACGTCAATAAATTGGTGGAACAAAAGAAAATTGCCTCATCTGAGGGAAATGTGATTTCTGACTCCCGTAAGCCAAGTGGTTACTCGCAGCAACCTTTAGCATCTCGAGCTGAAGTCTGCCCTTGGGAGTTTGACACACCAGATTTACCAAATGCAGAAAGAAGTGTAGCTTTATCAAACACCTCTGCTATAAGTGCAAATAAAACAGCAACACCTCGAAAATAAGAGGCTTTTGGACTGAGGAAAGTAGCAACACTGAGAAGAAAGACAACAAGAAAGACAAAAGGAACTTAGGCCAAAAGGATCTGAAAATTCCTAAGGAGCAACACTTAAAAGGAATCAGCACAACAAGTAGGAATTAAGCAAAACAAATTATTATTATTGTTGTTATTATTTATTTGTTGAGTGCCAACAATGTGATTAGCAGTGCCCAGAATGTGGTCCCTGCTCCAAGGATTTTACTGTGTCATTGAAAGAAACTTGCCTTTCTGAAATCACTTCTCCTTTAAAAGAAAAATAAACAAAACACCAAAAGTTGGTAACAAACGCACACTGTAAATCTTAACAGAATTATTTCTGAATGTCGCAGCTGGCTTTAACTTGCCCTTGGGACTTTAAGGATCCAACAGAAGTAGGGTGTAGAAAATGTCCTGATGGCAGAAAGGAGTATCAGTGAGCAGCTCTCAAAATGACGACTTTTCACTTTGCGTATTTAATCTCAATAGCACTGCTAACTCAATGCATCCCAAAAACACATTTTATATAATGGTTGCTCTCATTTTCTTATTACTGTGTGTTTAAGTACATTGTTGTGTCTCATATTAAAGCATTCCAGATTGTATAATTTTTGCAAATACCTTTGATATTATGTGACACAACACATTTATGCAATCTGTGATACTTTTTTCTTATTGCAACTTAAAATACCTGCTATAGACTTTTTGTTTATATATAGAATTACAGTAATTGTTCACTGGCTGTGGAAGCCAGTAACTCTCATTGGGAAATTCCGTTGGGGTTTGGGAATTTTTTTTTTTCCTGTGATTTATATAGTGCACTTTTTGTTTTACTCTCTGTTATTTAAATTTATAGTTTGATACTGTATTATTCAGGGGTTTTATACACAGCAAGTTACTTGTTATGCACTTCCCTATTAATGCTCATAGACTTTGCTAATAGTGCAAATCCAGTCGTCTTAGCTGCATATTCTGGTAAGTCTTAGGACAACTTATCCGTTGTTTGTTACAAATTGGAAAATATAGTTTAAGAAACCAGAATACCAACTCTAAACATCCATGAGGGTGATGTTGTTCAGTATTTCATACTGGGCATATCCTACTACATGAGACAGGCAAGAATGACAGCGAATATACCCCAGAAATGATGACCTGATTTACTAAAACTGGACAACTCTGGGAAATTTATCAGCTAGCTAACAACAGTTTACTGTCTATCTCTGTTGGCAAACCTCCAGAAACTGGCCTTTGGAGATACACAAGTCAGGAGAGAAGTCCGAAATATTACTCTTTCCTATACTGGCAGTGGCAAGAGATAGTAGGAATGAAGATGATGAGCATCTCTCTCCCACTCTCCAAATGCTTTTTTTTTAATTTACACATACATGTATGGAAACAGTTACTGTTTTAATGTAGCTCTGATTTTCAGTAATGGCTAAAGCCGTCGTCCTGCATTTGGCTTAATTCAGTAATGGCCCATTTACAACTATGAGTCTTGGTGCAAAAACACTCATGGTACACCACCAGGGCCTAGGAGGTATCATGGAGAATCTGTGTACCGCTAATAATAAAAATTAGGTTCCACCCTCACCCATCTAAATTTAGTACCAGTGAAGTGCTATTCAGTGGAATTGGCTGTACAAGGAGTACTCCAAAATAAAGACAGCTCAGTCCTAAAGAACTTGTGCAATCTGAGAGAAGTGATGGGATTCGCTGGAAGATGAATGAGGATGATTGAATAGAATGTGTTGTTTAATATATATATATAATATATATAAAATAGATATTTATATATGTTTAATATATATTTAACTTGTCATATCTAATACACACATGCACATATACGTATGTAGTATAAACTGATTTTTGTGGCATCATAGAAAAAGTGGCTTAAGATAAAATGTGATGATTGGAGGGACTCAGATGAGCTAGGCATGAAGAGGACATTTTTTGTCCTTTGAAAAAGACAGAAGAATATGGGCATGTCTACACTAACAGCTAGGACAGATCTTCCTACTGCCTCTGCTGAGCCCAAACCCAGAACATGCAGATGCTGAGCCAGCTGGAGACGAGTCAGCTCAGGTCTCGGTGCTGTCTGAACACATTGGCCTCACTCATAAATTCTGTCAAGACTCAGAGCTTGTGAGCTCCAGGTTATGGTGGCCAAACTGCCACAACCAGCCTGGCAAGGTGGGATGGTGCTTTGTTCCACCATAGGGACATGCCCCCTGAGCAGTCCTGCCTCTCCCAACCCTTTTTTCTAGGGTGCAGTTACGGCCTAGATCTGGTCTCTGCCTTCAACACACATCTTCTTGCCAGGACTCTGATTTGGCCATCTGTGCACATGTTTTGCCCACACAGTGCCAGTGGTGTTCCATGTGCAGCCCAAATCCAGCTTGCTACTTATTTTGTAAAAGGATTGAATTCAGAATCTACATGCCCAACTTCCCCCTTCCCCATCCAGGCATTCACAGAACAACTTTGGGATTTGATCAGCTGGAACAGTTCCCTGTACACTTCCCTGCGTGGGAAGAAATCCATCCTGGGAACGCTTTCAGGGAGTCCTGCAGGTGCACGCTAACGCTCCCCAGATAGATGCACATCTTCAAACTTGTTGAGCATGGTGACAATACTCGAGAGTGGAAGAAGATCGTGCAGAATGACCAGGAGGTGATTGGGGAAGGAGAACAGTTTATGGCAAATTGTCCTTCCAAACAGAAGGCAGTGCTTTGTTGAAGCCAGGCGTTGAGATTAGAAGTGGACATCTGTAAGAGGGTCATGAAAGGAGACTTTTGTACATCCTCACTGCCTCTTTGAGACAGACGGTCAGCAGGGGCCAGTTCTGATGCCTGCAGTTGTCCTCCCTCCTTCACCTCAAGGAGGCTGCTGCTTGGAGCATGGTGCAGCATCCGTAGGGCACCTGCCCCAGCCGTGTGGCACCGCTGTCCCTTGCAGCACTGAGCCCTTCATGTATGGCTGTGTCTGAGCCACCACTCTGTCTATGATTCCTTGTTCATTTTGTTTTTCCTTTCTTTTTGAAGACAACCTCACTGGAAGTACAGAAGCAAAGTGCACTCCTTAGTTGGGTTAACTCAGCCCAGCTGCACTGGCCGCAGCAGAACAAAGGCTGGTTGACCAGGGAAAGCACTGGCTTGTGTATTTGGTTTGGTTTGGTTTTCTTTCATCCTGACCCCTTCCTTCACTTCTTAAAAAATGGCTGTTATGGTTCTTTAGGCTTGTTGTAATCATACATCCTGACTGGTACAATTGGAGAACTTTCCTTCAGAAAGCAACAAAGCTTTAGCAACTGATATCTGGGCTACAGATTCAATTGCTACTTTAGATTTCTTTGCACTTAAGAAAGAGGGGCCAAACTTCACTCGACTACTATATTTCACTATGATGCTGCTAGAAACATTGCTTAATGAAGACATACTAAGTTAGACATAAATAATGTTCGGTATTTCATAGATTTTTCTCCACCAGCATATATTGGCTAGATTGCTTAGTTGTCTTTTTCTGGAGTTTCATTGTCATTACTCAGCCAAGAGAAGTGTGACTCTAGAATTAAGATGTTTTCTAGCAGATCTGTTAAGAGAAAAGATAATAAACACTAAGGTCACAAACATTTGCTAGGTTGTCCTTTTAAATGCATGTGCAAGCTGCATTTCTCCTTTATTTCTAAGCCATGGTTTATAAATAAATTTATACCAACCTTATTAGACTTGTATAATTTATGCAAGATTATATGCTTCAAAATAAAAATCAGTACACGCCTATCATCAGCTTTGGTGGCATCATAGGCCTGAAACCAGACAATACTTTTGTATTTGCTCTCCTTAGGCTTTTGCATGCATATGACAACAGGCAGGCCTGAGAAAACACTGCCTTTTGACTTTCAACATTTTAGCTACTCCGAGTTGTAGAGTACATAAAGCTGTAAGTCTCTTCACTTTATAACGTGATTCTTATAACAATGTTATCTGGCTACCAACAGCATCCACCATGAAATACTTGATAGATTTATGTTGTAATGTGTTGCAGCATGTAAATAATGTAACTTCTCTGCAATAAAGCACATTTATATGAAATCTGTCTACAGCCTTTTGGGTTGTGAATTTTCTGAAGTCATTACTGATCCAAACTAAACTAATAAAGCATCATGAACTGGAAGTGAGCTTTACAGCATCTATGGTCTGATCACAGCATTAGCATTTTCAGGAGTTTCCACACGTTTCCTTGACATCAACCTTTAGACCATGTACTGTGTTCAGGATTTCAGGCTAAGGAAATTGCATGGCCAACAGCTCTCTTTTCTCAGTCACTGCAATTTAGAGGAGAACTGTAGGATCTACACTACGTTCTCTTGAAAGTAATAGCAACTAGAGCACAAAAGGTTAGGAAATAGATGGTATTTCTTGATGTCACTGTAGAAGTCTGTAGGCCACCTGTACGGTACGTGTGCATGCGTGGATTCCTCATCTAATGTGTATATATGTATGTAAACAGATAGAAAGGTAAAGATGTTCAGAGACAGAGAACGGCTGCAGTGTGAACAGTGACTGCAGAACAGACCAACTGCAGCTTGTTTAATGTGGAAGGGAGAATGACTGAGGTAGCAATGAGACCTACATACAATTACAAGTGGTCTGAAGGTGATTAGGAAACCGCTATTTGCTGGTTTTCATCATCCAGGAATTACAGAACACCTGTGGTGACCTTCATGCAGCAATTTAAAACAAATGAAGTCTTTTTCCACATACGCTGTAATTGTGAAGCTAATTTTAACAAGTTGCTGTGGATACCAGGAGTTCAAACAGCATTAGGCAGGCCCTGGAAGAGAAATCCATCAAGATGCTTGAAAACATAGGATAAAAACAAGGATAAAGACTCTTAATGTGCAGGTTGTTGAAGATTGTGTAGTCACCCTGTTTTCTTTCCATGATCGTCTACTACTGGATATGAGGCTAAGTGAGCCTTTGTTTTAGAACACCCTTTATACGTTCTTATTTTTGTGTAAATGCAGACAGTTAGGCTTAATTTCAAGCTGAACAATTCCTTTTTCTTATTTTTTAATAAGTAAAATAGTATTTTTTTATAGGTTAGAGCAATTTTTTCCAGTTCTAAAAGAGCTAATTTAACCAACTCGAAAATGAGCTTTAGCATGTTGTGAATTTAATAAAAGATATTGGGTAATAATTGATTGTTTCCCTTGCTGAGGCCTTCATTGTGTTGTGGTATTCAATCTTCTGGTTCTTTAATACTTGGAAAATTGAACTTTACCTTTCCATCCATGCAGGTGACTTTTCTTTACTCATTTACTTATATGTTAGCTCTTTTAGTTGCTGAAAGCATGCAAACAAATCAGGCACTGAACATTTGACATCAGATTGCTGCTTTTTATGGTTCTGAATATACGGGGTGGGCCTAGTTTTTCATTTTTCCCAAAGTATGGGAAGGAGTACATTGTACCCAAAATAGCCATATATTTTTGAAATATGCATTTATGATCTTCTGTATAATACAGATATACATATTGTATGTACAAGTGTACCAACACGAATATATGGCTCATTTAAATGCTTATAGCCGCTGTTCATAGTGCACATAAATAACCTGTTTATCTACGTGTTGATTTATACAGAAGAAAAACTGGTGTGATTCATTTTTCCACTACAAACAAATCAACACAATTCTACTTGCAAAATGAAATGGACTGTAAGGTTTGCATATGAGAAATCATTCCCTAATCACTTTATAAACCTCTGAGGACACAGCCGTGAGCAAGTGGTGCTGCTGCTGCCTTTCCTGGCTGCTGCTCTCTGCAGGATGAGGACAAAAAGTCTGTCCTGACATTTGTTTGTTTGTTTGTTGTTCAAAATGGCCCAAAATTTACAGACTTACAGCAAAAAGAGACCCACAAAGTCAGCACGAGGCCCTGCCCCTGCGCAGCCTCCTGCAGAAACAGGCTCTGCTGCTCAGCTGGGTGCACTCATGGCATGGGAAACTGTTCTGAACATCTCATGGGACCACATGTGAGCTGAATCCCGAATGAATGCATTAAGGACTACCAGGAATGAGAACTGAACAGGAGGGGAGGTTGCATGTTTGACACCATAGGTGCCTTGTCAGCAGGACTTGGATGGATATACCACAGACTCATTTAACAAGTCCATTAAATGCACTGAGCTGTGTTATGTCAGGATCTAGCTCACATTTGCATCAAGGAAACTGAAGCACAGTGTCAGCAATCCTCAGGGTACAAAACTGCTCAGAAACAAAGAAATGTTCTCTCCTTGCCCTGAGAGCTGCTACTGCCATTCATGTCTGTCTGCCCAGCAGGGGACCGGTTGGCTGCCTTCAGCTCTTTGCCACCTTGCAGGTAGTACAAAAGCTTTGACTTTTCATTAGAAATGTCATCGTGGCTTATGCTTGCTTTAGCTTTCTTTTCATCTGGAGGCCAGAAAGCATTGTGCTGCAAACTAAAGCTCTTTTCAGGTTTTGCTCCTGGCTGCTCAGCTCCCTTTGATTCCTTAGAGTTATTTTCCCAAGCTGAAGTCTTGCACTGACAGCAGCACTCTTCCAACCCTCTCCAAGCACCGCATTTTATTTTCACATCACAGACCACCGTGCAGCTCAGAGCCTTGTTGGCAAAATATCTCCTCACAACCCCTCAGCCAGAGACATTGAGCTCCTGGAGTAGTACTTGGTAAGCCAGCCAGGGAAGGGCTCCTCCTTACACAGGCACTGGTGTGGCTTCCAGGCTCCCCGTGCCTTAATTTTCCATTATCAGCATAGGGATGACGTGACTGCTTCTGAGAGATGATAGGGAGGAGGACAAAGCCAAAATCTTATCATCTTCAAATACTGGTGATGGCACTAGCCAACACAGGCAGGGTGCTGCTCCTCACCTTTCGTACTGCAATGGATTTATGTAGTGCCTAATGGCAATCAATATCAATATCAACCAAATGATTTACAAAAGACAAAAATGTGGGTGGTGATCAGTTTGCAGGTTATGGAAGCTTGGTGAATGTCAGCAGTTCTGTACTATATGAAATTTCCTCTTGGCACTGTCACTTTATAATCTGCAGTTCTTAGTGAAACAGAGAAAACCAAACAAATCAGAAGCAGTGAAACAGAGAAAACCAAACAAATCAGAAGCTGACCTTTTCCTGCATTAAAGTTTTTGTAGTCTCTGAGCTGTTCAAATGTGGGAGATGAATACTTACCGGGCTTTATCACCAGTATTAGAAGTCCTCTGGAAGCTCCCATGCACACCTCCACAGATCACAGGCGCCACAGCAGCATTCCCATGTATGCACAAAGAGCGAATTAAAAATCCTCCTTCCTCCTCCAAGTACTATCCAAATGTCACAGGGATGTCTTGGCTGTTTGTGTCTCTGGTACATCTGGTACAGTTTTGTGTATCTGTTTAATTCCAGCATTCTGCAGAGCCAGGTACGTTCAAAGAAATAATATCAAAGTCTGTTCTTTGCGGCCTTAACTACTACAGCTGGGCTTCGTAAACAGGGCTGGGTGTGCTCAGAAGAAAGTGAATTTGTGGCAAATGTGGAGATAAAATCTGCTGTGAAGACCCTGTTAATTTATATTTAATGTCACCACCACAATGTTTGTGCAGTCAGCGCAGATCCTGAAGAACTCCTTAAGTACTTCTGATCCTCCCTTTGAGTGTTCTCTGTTGATCTCCTTCCAGAGTTTCCTTCTTCCCCCTCTCTTACAAAGAGGATCAAAACGAGCTCATTTAGCCACTATCACAGCCCCAGACACCTCCCAGCACAGGTGTGCCCCTGGGCTTTAGAATTACATTCATATGCTTGGTGTCTGGCTGTTGCTCTGCTAATTTGAGCTGTTCACCTCTAGTGGGATTTTTCAGCTTTATCTGTTGCTCCAGAGTGGGACATGGGAAGCAAAACAGATGTAGAAGCACTGGGCATATTGGTGTTTCCAAACGTGCTATTCACCCCCCGCTCCCACATACTGCCAGTGGTTTCCTTCTCTATGGCTGTTGGTTTCTCCACGCTTTGTTGTGCACATGGAAGCTTTGGGTTACAGTTTTCCTCTGCTTCCTGCACAAGTCCTGCACTTCTGTCTGTTAAACGCTGATGCTTTTCCTATGGTTGCAGTTTCAAAGTCATTTCAGTTGTCCAAGACCACCTCCTCACCCCAGACATTCACTGTTCCTGACCCTGATTTCTGCTGTGAGTTCTCTCCTCCCCACTGACACACATTTTGCTCCAGACTCCATGTGCAACTTGACCAAACCTCCCCATGTGCCTCACCCCCTCTGTGGGGGTGAGCACCAGAAGGCAAGAGTGCCAATACTATTACATGGATTGAGGTTGTGTACAAAAATGTGTGTACAGAAGGAAGTGCTGGGGTTGGTTGGTTGTTTGCTTTTGGTTTTTGGTTGGTTTGGTTTTTGGTTGGGTTTTTTTGGTTGGTTGTTTGCTTTTCAGCCTTTCCAGTCTGGGATTGTGGGAACAGAAGGAGACAAAAGCAAAAGAGAAAGCATGGTGATGATCATGTGAGTATTTGAACGCATCTCTGACACACAAAATCTGTATCTGTCACTTTTCTAGCTCTGTTTGCCAATGAAGATATTGTGTAAGATTTGTTAAGGCTATTTCCAGGCAGGGTTTTTTCAGCATTTTTCTATGGATTCAGGAGATAAGAGATCAAAATAATTTATAGAGATCAAAAGAATTTTATTGACTAAAGGCCGTGTATATTACGACTGTTTTATAACAACTAATAACCTCTATCATCATGTAAGAAGACTCCACGCTTGTTTACATAAAATGCAAATTCTTAAGGGATCTGGTTTTGTATCTACCTTGCCAGTAGCATTCTACCCCCGTGTGCTGACTGCTGCTTCTTTCTGGTCCATCTCCTGAAACTTTGGCTTTCCTTAAAACCATGCTGAATCAGTCTTGGCTGTAGAGACAGCTGTTCTGGTGGGCAGCTGGCTGGAGCAGGGGCTGTGGTGCTGATAAATGCGTTATGCTAAAGGCTACTGCCTCTGCTGCCATTCTGTTGTACCTTCAGGACCTTTTATCCTTCAAGCATT